GTTAACAGAATGTTAGATAGGATAGCAAGAAAGCAAACCCGTATAGGTGTGCTGGTACAAGAAAGATTTGCCTTACAATTATTGTATCAGCGAAATGCTCACCACCTGCAACGAAGTAGAGGGGATATAGGTCTGTTAGAATATAATCGAGACAGGCTCTATGAACGATATGAGAAATGGAAGGCTAAAGAAAAAAATTCTCGCCAAATTATTTTAGCGCTACAGAATAATCCACTACTAAACATAGCTAATGCTGAAACTAGACGTTTACCAGTATTGAAACTAATGAGTCCCACTCTTGGGAATTTTAAACCTTATACAGGTCAAGAACCGCCTGACGATTACTTGGATAAAGTTATTCAATCATGGGCACATCTTGAAGGACATATGACACTTCTTGAGAACGCAAATGCTGGAGACTTTGACAATGCGGTCAAGTGTGATATATTAAAGTCCAAGATGGGAGGAAAATATGCACCTGTTCTAGCGCAAAATGCTATTGTAAATCCAGCAGTCAATATCGATTCTCCAGATACATTACGGGCTTGGTTGAGAGCAAAATACCAGCGAGAGACTGTTGGAAATCAACAATCGGCTATTCAAAGATTAACACAAGAAAGATATCAGTCCTATGATACTCCTGATACCTATGAAGCCAGAATTCGACCACTATTATTAGGAGTAGCAGACAATGATGCACAAGTTCTGGGATTCCTTAAAAGCCATTTAACAGGTGATTTTTATACGTGGATGAGATCTGCTAATCCTGCAGTTGCGACTATTAATGCCTTTTTTACTGAACTAAAAAATATGTGGCTGGAGCGTGGACAAAATTTGAGTGGAATCCCAGAAGGAGCAAGTCAAATTGCCAATCAAGTACAAGCCTTAACTAGTATAAATCCAGTATCCTACACTTCGCCACGAGTTGTCCCAGTTTCTCAACCAGCTTTTACTAAAGATGATATACAAAAAATAATTCAAGAAGCACAGGCACAGCAAAAAACTGAAAACCAGGCATTAAAAAAGAAAATTACAGAATTAGAATCACAAATGGCTCAACAAAGCAAAAGAACTCCTCCACCAGTCCCTCCAAAAAAATACGAGCAAATTCCGGAATACTATGAAGGTCATAATTCCTTTGATGGACCTCCTGTATCGCATAAACCAGATAAGTATCGTTCAGCAAGAATCGATAGATTAGAAACTATAGTTGGTAAAGTTGCAGACACAGTAGGTACTGTTGCAGATTCCGTAGGTCAATTAACTGATCGAATGGGGAGGATGTCACTTAATGATCAACCACGGAAACCTTTTTATTGCAGTAATTGCGGACAGGAAGGTCATAAGAAATCTAATTGTCCTACCTCTAATCCTGTAGCTAAATCGAATTTTACACGTTATTATCCTCAACTCCCGTCTACGCAATCCCAATACACACCTCCCGATTCAGATAATGATGATGAGGAATGTGGTGAGAATGATAAGAACAAAGCAGAAAATGATTGGTATTATGCACCAGAAAAAAAAAACAGGCACCAGTAGAAAATAACCAACCCGAAACATACGATCAGCTATTGTCTAAGTTCTCACCACTGATACGAAAAATGTGTTTATCTCGAAAGGCTCAGGAGGAGGAATCGAAAGAATCAGATGAGTGGTTATCATCTTTACAATATCTGAATGCTAATATAAATGACTTAACTATTTCCGAATCTTTTTTAGATACCGGCAGTGAGTTAGGTGGTATGAATGACCCAGCAATCAAGGCGCTTGGATGGAAGGCTGATAAACCATCTAATTTTGCCATAAAGGGCAATTCCAAGCATATCACCGATTCATTAGGATGGTATACAAACGTGCCAGTTACCTTGAAGGACAAAGAAGGTAAGACAGTCACAGTTATTGGAAATTTTGTTCATATTGATAATGGTGAAACAGAACCAATGCTATTTTTTGGTATGTCAAACATTCGAAAGGTTCAAGGCGTTCCCGAGCCCAATAAAAACCAGTTCCGCATAAAGTTACATGGAAAGGCATATATTATCCAACCTTTAGCAAGGCTCCAGTAGTCAAGGATCCGCCAAAAGAGGATCGGGAATCATCGCCTGGGAACGTCTCTCAAGAATCTACCAACTCCTCTAGTTCGAATAGTGAGGAGGATTTAAAAAAAAGTGCGTAAATTGTGCAAAGGCTGAAGAGTGGCTTGGTAAGGCAATAAGTGCTATAAAAATACTTGCCGAAAAGAAGTGAGTTATTTAATATCATCCATTTGTTTTAATACCTCTTCAAGTTCAGATCCATATTTAGATATAATATCAGCATTGTCAGTAGTCTTAGCGCTATGCTGTGAAGGCACTTCTGACTCCGTCCCAGTAGAGGCTACACTTGTTTTGCTTATTTTCTTTTTTCGGCTATTTTTCTTCAGTGGTAAGGCGGGTGGAGAGGAAACAGCAGGAGGATATTCTCTCTCAAGACCTCCTGCATAAGAGCTTACAGAGGCGGTGGTTTCTATAGGAACCCCAGGACCTGATCTTGCATTAGAAATATCAGTTATTGGCTGATTCTAGGCAATTCTATTAGCTTCTTCGCCTCTCCAAATCTGATATATGCGTTTCATTGATGTGTTATATTTATGCATTAATTCCTCTAAAACCTTTTTCCTTGGCCTTTCATTTTCACATTGCATAATAAAATTGTAATCAGCTGGTGAAAATAAAGGCGCATTACAATTTATACGTTGTCTAACCATAATCACGATGGTGTATTTTTTTCAGATAAAAAATTTCAAAAATAATATTAAATAGGATGAATAGAAAAAGTGTATTTTTTGTGATAAATAAGATAAGCGTAGTCTTTTTGATATTTAGAAAAAATGTATTATTTCGAAAATAATTTAATGGAATAAATAGGATAAATATATTAATTCGAAAAGATTTATTGGGATAATTAGGATAAATGTATTATTTTGGTAATATAGGAAGAGCATATTATTTCAAAAATAATATTTTTTTTTTGACTATATTTGCGGGATAAAAAACTATGCCTCGAATTTATACCTTGAATGATATAGGTAATAGCGATGGCAGTAAACTTGGAAGCCCTCCATCCAATCGATATCCACCTAGCCATTTAGAGCTTAAAGAATAGCTAAAAAAAGATCGTGAAAAGTTTATAAGATCTGCCAAACAGCTTATAACTAAATATCATGTCTTAGATAAAAAAATAAGTGTATGCAAAATGATCTAGACCACTCGCATGAAGAAAACGAGCAATTGCAAAATGATCTAGATCACTTGCATGATGAAAATGAGCATATGCAAAATTCTTTGAATCGAATTACCCCTCTAACTCTGAAACTACATGATCAGAATAAAGACTTTGCCTTCCGAATTACTTGCGAACGAAAGTCTCATGCCAATCTTAATGCCAAGCAGTTAAAAGAAATAGAATCGCTAAAGTTTAAAAATAATTTACTAGAAAGCTCAGTATCTTCAACACAAAAAGCTTTATCTTTGAAGAATTCTGAAATTACCTCTCTTGAGTCTAGAATAAATGAACTGGAAGCTGAGTTAGAACAAAAAGCCTTATTAGCCGAAGGTGACAAGGCAAGGGATTCTGATACTACCCAATCACTTGAGATTAGAGTAAAGGGATTAAAAAATGAACTGGAGCAAGTTACGCAAGATTCATCATTTAAGGATGGATTAATTTTCTGTCTCAGATCTAGGGTAAGTAATTTAGAAGATGAACTAGAGGCCTTGGGGAGGCGGGATCAGATCGCTTCGCACCAGACATCTCATGATTCAAAAATAGGTAGTGCAGAAGCGGACTCAGCCTCATCATCCAACAATTATAAGCATGATGAAGTAGTAGAAGAGGTACCCCATTTTTCTTCACACTACTTAGAGCGCGAATCCGATAAAAAAGGAGATTGTGATAGTATTTCAGCCGTACCTATTATTGCGTTAGGAGGTAATAGTAATACTTTAGTTAATGATCAGAAAATAATCCCATTTATACTCTTCTTTGTTATTCTTGCCTTCATAGTAATATTAATTATATGGTATATATACAGGCGAATTTCTCGTCCAATCAAAAGGAAAGAAATTTTTTATCCAATCTATAGAAATCAGAGTTATGGATTCCCAATCCGATACGCAGAACCAAAAGACAGGACTAGGGGTGTTTCCAAAGGGAACTACCATCCTACCTCCTATGAAACTTTACCTTATGAATATGGATGAGACTATAAAGCACGAATCATCCCAAGTTCAACTATTTTGCCAATTCTTCAAAGGTTTATCCCATCTAAATCTAATTGACAAGGGTCATCAGATGGTCTTCGAATATCAATAACCACAAAGTGCTTTTTTATTACCTCATAAATTTTTTTTGCTAGAGGCTCATAATCATCATACGTATCCTTAAGAATTCGCTTGATGCTATCTAAAGTTCCACATCCACGATGCAATGAAATGTATGTAAAATTTCCGCGTATATTTAGATGGATTTCATAGAAACGTTGGGCAATATAAATTGAGCTAATTCCATCATGTCTGCCTGACCTAAAGAAAGGAACGATTTTTAGTTGAGTTGCCAGAGGTTCGCCAGCAAGATCATCAAAGACTATAAGAGTAGATCGGCCAGTTCTTTTGAAAGATGAAATATCAGGTAGTTCTTCAGGCGC